GGAAACATGCTTATCACCATGGGCCAAAATATCTATACAAACAAACTCCCTTGCAGAAATCTCATCTGGTAAATGTATTAGCTCACGAAATAATTAACTCTCTAGCTAGTGGCCACATGCTCTTGCTAATACTGCCTGTCAATTCAGGTTTCTTGGTTTTTGTCTTACTGTACAATTCTTTCTAATTATTTCTTGCTTTCCAAAGAGCTATGAGAACTTTCTTATTCTTAGTTTAAAAAGTTCATCTATAAAATACAAGTACATTTTCATTAATATTTAAACAAAAAGACGAAGTTCTCTAACTTCCCACCCCCATCTTCTCCCCAGAGATAATCACTGTTGTTAGCTCAGTATTTCCTTCCAGATTGTTTGTATATTTCTACATTTATGTGTGTGTGATATTTTTTTTACAAAGACAGGATCATACTGTTTATGTCATTCTTCAAATTCTTTCCCTTTAAAAATGTCTTGGAAATTGACATGTCAGTATGTTTACATCTATTTTTAACTCCTTCTTTTCAGCACTTTTGCAGTATTCTACAACTGCTATACTACAGGATGGTTCAAATTTTTGCTACTGCCAACAACACAGCCATCAGTGAAAATCCTTGCATGTGTCTCTTTGAATGCAAATGAAATTATTCCGCTAGGACAGAAATTTACAAGTAGAAGTGGGACTCTGAAGGTAAAGCCAAGCGCCTGGCACGGTGGCACAGGCCTATAATCCTAGCACTTGGGAGACTGAAGCAGGAGGATCATTGGAAATTTGAGCCCAGCCTGGGTTACACAGTGAGCTCAAGGCCAGCCTGAACTGCATTTCAAGACCGTGTTAAAAGACAAGAAAGGGGCCTGGGAGATGGCTCAGTGGAATAAGCACTTCCCTGGCAAACACAAGGGCCTGAGTTCAATCCCTGGTTCTGGAACAAAAAAAAAAAAAAAAAAAAAAGACAAGAAAGAAAGGTCCTAGGCAGGTAGGTAGGTAGGTAAAGCCAGCCCTGCAGGCTGGCTGAACCAATACCCATTCCTTATCATTATAATCTTTTCTTCTGCCTTCTCCAACAAAACCTAGAAAAGCTAGAAACTTGTTTTCCTCACATTGCTCATGGCTAGAGGAAAACAATTTTCCCCAGTTCTGACCAATTAACATGAACAAAAGTCTTCTGTGCAATCCCTAGCAAGGTTTTCTTTTGTTTTATTTTTTGCTTTCCAGGTAAAAAGGAGATACTGACTGGCACTATGGCTTCTTCCTGCCCTGAAAGTAGTTGTGATGTTGGAGGGGTTGTAGCCACATTACAGCATGAAAGAAAGCCATGAGAATGAATCACTGTGACACTGGATGGCCCTGATATCAAGAAAGTACAGAATTGAAGCCAGCCACAAAGTACCCCCAAACTGCTTATTATACAGGAGGAATTACTGGGTTAACCTGCAGTAAGTCTAGTTTATCTGTTACTTGCAGCCAAATATATTCCTAGTTCCTTGGTGAATTACTGTTTAAAAAAATCTTTATAAACTGAATTTGCTCACAAGTCTATTAAACAGTACCCACTTCCTGAACCTTTTATCAACCTTGAACATTATCAATTATTTAAATGTTTAATTCAGCTGACACATGAAAAGGTTTCATATGAAATGCATCATTTCATACACTGGCCTTTCAGATTTCTTCTTGCATAAATCTCTTTCTTGTTCACAGCTCTTATTTACTTTTCTACTACACTACTTAACTTTTGTTTATTGATTGTGAAAGAAATTTCCAGATAGCAAGACAGGTGGAGTTAAGTTTATGGGGACTTTAATCTCTGAATCTTTATACTATCAACAAAATCAAACGACTGTAAGAAATACACTTTGCATGACAGGCTAGGCTGACAGTAATAGCAATCTCTAAGTGAAGCATACGACATGGCAACATGCCAAGTAATTCAGCCTGTACTTTGTACTTCCTTTGTGTGTGTATGCATACCAAAAAAAGGGTTCATACACGGTGAGCCAGGCACAGTCCTCAATGTACATCATCCCTTTTAACTCTCACAGCAAACCCTAAAGGCAGTCACTATTATTTCTATTTTACAGAATAAATGATAAAAGTAAATTTAAGGGCTGGCCAAATAGCTCAGCGGATTAAAGCCATGGGGCGGGAGGTCGATCCTGGGCCAGCCACACCACACCCCTGGCCCCCAGGGCATGCAGAGACAGGGTGTGGTGGTGCTTGGCACCTGTAATCCCAGCACTTCTCAGCACTTAGGAGGCTGTAAACAGGCAGATCACTAAGAGTCCGATCTAGTAGTGGGACCCTGAACACCCTGTAGACCCTTTCCCTAAAGTGCAGAAAAAAAAATTCAAAACTAGTAATTTCTCAACAAAAACCAGTAATCTCTCTCCTACCACAAAGACTTGCAGTGTCCAGGCTCAATATTTTAAAACAAAATGATTAAATGTTTATGTCAATTTAAAATTATAGGGGCCTGCCCCTTAGCTCAGTTGTCGGGCTGGGGAGATGGCTCAGTGGAGTAAGTCCTTCCCTGGCAAGCACAAGGGCCTGAGTTCAATCCCCGGTTCCGCTAAAAATAAAAAA